TAATGTGTGTATCTCCCTCCAAGTCCAGCCTGTGTTGCTCAGGTGTTCATGGTTCGGTTGACTGCCAGGGGCCACACCCTTACAGAACCTGATGCCCCCTCCCCCAGAAACACCAATATCCATAGCTCCTCAGCTAGGGGCCGGGGCCCACATGCCTCTTCCTCTGTGCCAGAACGCTGACTGACTTGAGACCTTGTGCAGGTCTTATGCAGGCTGCCACAGCTGAAGTGGGTTCATGACTAAAGTGGCCTCGTCATGTCCAAAAGGGTGTTTCACCTTGGTCCTCCCTGACCTCTGGTTCTTACGATCGTTGCACACCCTACTGTTGGTGGTCCCTAACCCTGGGTGTGAGGTGCATGTCCCACTTGTGTCTGAGCTTTGACCAGTGGTGAACTTATGTATTAACCACCATTGACACACTAAGAACGTCCCCAATACATCTGATACCTGTGCTAACCTGAGCGCAGAGACAAGAATTTAGAAGCCAGCTAGCTGGACATCCTGGTGAAGTTCATCCCCTGGGTCCTATAAATGTCAACCATGAGGTGTGTGGTGCCAGGCATGTGTCTCCTCCTGTGGAGCAACCCTTAAAGCCAATCAGAAATCAGTTGCCCTCCCCCCACCATCATGCCACTATTGTGCCCATGGGCACATCTTGGCATGCTGGTCATTACTATAGCTCGGTGTTCACAGCTGGGTAAGATACTTATGACTACATCCCCCACCCCAGCATCCTGAATAGTACCTTCTGGTACCGTGACAACCAGCCAGCAGGAAGTAAGCGGCTGGGTCAGCACCACTTTGATCTGAGTCCTGTGAGCGAAGGTGCTGCCTGTTGTTCTTTGGGATTTATTAAGGTTGGCTACGGCTCACCCACAGTGTGGGAGGGAACTCAGCCTCATCCATACCTACCCTAGCATCTCTTCTCTGCACAGACCACAGTGGAGAGCAAATGACCTCACAACAGCAGTGCTTCGCAAACTGCACCTTCCTGTCCTTCAAGAGAGACAGCTCTCTTAAAAGAACAAGAAGTATGTGTGTTCTACTTCACTGTGTAAACAGCTCTGCAAGTGGATCTGATCCCAACTGGGTCACACAGCTAAATATGAGTCACAAAAACAATAGCAACAGCAAACGTTTCCTGAATTCGGTGACCAAATAATAATAATATTAAATCAAATTCGTAACAAGTCCAAGGTTTTTCCACCCATGCTGTAATGCATGTCTTTACTGCAGCCCTAGCTGTGAACAGGATCTGTGCACTTTGCGGGCCAAAAATCCAAAAAGTAGACTCAACATTCAAAGTGTAGAGAGTACCCGCAGCAAACCTCAATCCCAGCCAATTACATCCTCCCGAGCCCCCCCCCCCCCCCCCGCCCCGAGAGCTCAGTCGGTGAAGGCACTTGCTACCAAGCCTGACCGCCTGGGTTTGATCCCTTGAACACACCTGGCAGAAGAAAGGAGTTGACTGCTGGAGGAGTTGAAAGAAAATGCATACATACAGGACATTGGTCTTGAAGACACGCCCACAATGGATGAAGCAAACGCTTCACTAAGGTTTTGATTTTTTAATGGGTGGATGTGTAGTCGGGGGTTGTCACACACATGCGGTTTTCCCACAGACCAGAAGAGGGCATCGGCTCTCCTGGAAGCAGCTGGAGTTACCCGTGACGGTACCGCCCAGCAGGGATGTTTGGAAGTAAACTTTGTTCTCCTGGAAGAGCAACAGGTACTCTTAAACATTTCCGTAACGCAAAGGTGTAACCCAGGCTGGCTCCCAGCCGCTGATACTCCGTTTGCGCCTCTTCAGCATAGCCTACTGGCGACGGTCACCACAACCAGCCCCGCGAAGAACTAACTACAGCAGGCGATTCTGTTTGCAGACACGATCCGCGCGAGCTTCACACTCGGGGATGGGCAGGCGTGGGTGTCCTTTCGTCCACTAGTATGTGAGCGCGAGCCTGACGCCTTGCGGCTTGGGGCGTGGCTGGTGTCCCTGGCTTCACGCACTGTCTTCTGGCTAAGCGGGACCTTAGAAGGTACCAGCACGGCACGCGTGCTACACTGAAGCCTGCCCGGGCTCTGTTTCCCACGGTGACAGCGCACGCGAGCCCCCGCTCCGCCTCCCACGCACCCTGCAGGGCTTGCATGCGCTGGCAGGGCACGCGGGTCCGACCGCGCGCGGCGGCTTTAAGGAGCACCGCAATGGTGCCCCGATGGCGGAGCGCCCCCAGGTCCCCCGCCCGCCGTGATCGAACACCGCCGGCGACCGAACACCCGCAGCCGCCACACCGCCCACCCGGAAGCGCGAGCCCGCACGCAGGCCGCTCTAGGCCACGGGAGGCCTCGTCTCGGTGGTTCCGAGCCCCGAACACCAGATGTCCAGGTGGACGTGGCTGTGTGCCTGAGCGCGTGCGCACTTGAGAGTGTGACGGGCTCACACGGCCCTCGGGCTCCGATGAGTGTGCACTGGGAGGGCCTGGGGGCTAGGTTTCGCAACATCTGGGTGCATGCGCACTGGGACCGCAAGTGGCAGACCTTGCCGGAAGCTCTGCACATAAATTATACAAATTCGCTCCAGCTATTTCTCTGGCACCAATTTTAAATAGCCACATTGATTGGGAAAAAAAAAGCCACATCTCTACAAATACCTATTGGACCATCAGTGCTGTTTCTTATGCTGACGTGGCCGGGAAGGGTCCCAGCACCTAAGTCCAGAAGGCCCAGTGCAGCTCCAGCAATCTGCGCCCCCCTCTGGGTCTGCCTGGCACCGCACTCATGAGCACATACCCACGCAGACACATAAATTTAGTTTTATTTACAATGTATACAATGCCCCGTCTGCATGTATCCCTGCAGGCCAGAAGAGGGCACCAGATCTTACTACGGATCGTTGTGAGCCACCATGTGGTTGCTGGGAATTGACCTTTAGAGCAGCCAGTGCTCTTTACCGCTCTTTACTATCTCTCCAGCCCTTAAAATGGAGAAACGGCTCAGCAATTGATAGCACCTGTTGCTCTTGCAAGGGTCCAGCGGTTGATTCCAGCACACACACGGTGGCTCACACCATCCCTAACTCCTGCTCCAGGGAACCCAAGCCCTTTTCCTTCTTCCACGGGCACCAAGCTCACATGAGGTACACACGCATGCAAAACATTCATATGCTTAAAAAATAAATCTTTAAGAAAAATTAAAGCCTATTTCTCACTGGGCGTGGTGGTACATACCTTAATGCCAGCACTTCAAAGGCCTACGTAGGAATCAGGAGTTCAAGGCTCAGCTGGACCACACGAAACCCTTCCTCAAGCAAACTGTCTTTTTTGTTCAAGGACAAAGCAGGTGTGGTGACTGAGAGCCTATCTGAAGACTAAGGCAGGAAGTCTGCTGGAGCTCAAGTTGGAAGCCAGAAAGGCACACAAAGTGAGACCCCAATTTTCTATTAGTCAGCAAGTCTACTACTGCAGTCCCAAGGTTAAGAAATCCTTGGTAATCAAAGCAATCTTCATCCCCAACAAGCAATCATCACATAGCTCACTGAAGTAACCGTTTCAAACTACTGGCTCCCAGGGACCTTTCTCCCTGACCACTCACCCTACCCACCTTGACCTCAGGTTACTCCACTAACCCCAGCCCCAGGTGCTAATTCCACGCCAGCAGGATGGATGCAGTGAAGGACTGGCCACTCCTGCAAACCAGCCTGAGCACACCTGGGCGTCTGTGTTGGTGCAGGAATCAACCTGCTGCTGCTTAACAAACACTTGGTTGATTGAAAGCAACACACACACACTCGGCCCCCACCCGGTGTGTGAACCAGGAATGGCATGGCTGGAGATGTTTCATGTCTACGTTCCCAGTCTCCACAGAAGGGCCTTTCCCTGCCTGTACTGCTCTGGTGAGGGCAGATTTGTTTCTATTCAGTTCTGTGGGGTGAGCTGAGCAAATGGCCGAGACTAGATAACCACAGTACTGATCTCAATTTCACTTTGTTTTAATTCCTTTCTCACTATAACCTTAAACCCAGACATATATACCCAAACACAATCCAAGGAACCAACTGGTCATCAATTGTCCTGACAGCAGCTAGCCCAATGTGTAAGCACTCCAAAGTGCCTCAACTAAGATCACCTCTTTCTCCATCTACAAGCCAATCAGAGCTAGCCAAACTCAAGTTCCAGCTTCACTTCCCAGAAGCCCCATTACCAGCACTGCTTCCCTTTTGGGGATGTTAAGTCTCACTGTGTAGCCCTGGCTGGCCTCTCAAGGTCTTCCTATCTCTGCCTAGCTTATTCCCTTTTCCCCCTTTGCCTTTACTGGAGGGCACCTTGACTGCAGGGTGAGTTCCAGGAGAGCCAGGGACACAGTGAAACCGTTCTCAAACCAAACAACAAAATCAAGACCATTTCACTTCATAGTCCTGGCAATCTGTATCCTAGGCTGATCCCAAGCTCAATAGATCTGCATGCCTCTGCCTCCTGAGAATTACCGGCATACACCACCACCAGGCTCATTCCCTTCTTTGGTTTCTTAAGACAGGGTTTCTCTGTGTAGCCCTGGAACTTGCTCTGTAGACCAGGTTAGCCTTGAACTCACAGATCCAGATGTCCATGCCCCTTTCTTAATCAGACTGCTCCAAATTGCACCATTTCCTAGGAGCAGCCTATATCCTACCACCCTCAACCTGCCACCTCATGGTAAAGACCCCAAAAGCCGCTTACCACCCCCCCCAGTCGTCTCCAATTTGTATTCCAGTACCCCACCTTGCTTATGTGTAAGCCCTGGAGATGATTCTCCTACCCACGGTCTCTTATTGGATTCATTGCAATGCTTTTACAAAGCTTTCCTCCAATCAGCAACTTTTCCTAGAAATATGCAAGCTTCTGAAATTATCAGACTACTGCAGTGGAAGGGAAGAAGCCTAACACCCCCCCACCCACAACAACCACTGAGCCATGGCCCAGCCCCACTCTGCCTTTGAAGAGTATTAGATTGACTCATCAAAATGATGAAATCCCACCTATTTGTGGGAAATACATTTATTTGTACAAGGGACAGGGTTCGAATTGTTGTACCTGCATATACAGATCCAGTTTGACTGTGGTTGTATGTTAAGGCCTGGGTATGAGTTTAATTAAATGATCCTGTCACAATACCATCCATCCTTTTCTAATGCCCACTCGGTGACAACTGTGAGTTCACACACGAGATTTGCCAACACGTCAAAAAAGAACGTTTATTCCTTTGTACAGCCTCATGCTTTCTTTCCAGCTGACTTTGAAGCAGGTGCTTTCTGGGCTGGGGCTTTCTGACCCTTCTGACCTTTAGCAGGAGCGGCTGCCTTCTGGCCTGTAGCCTTCTGGGCTGGCGCCTTCTTGCCTGGTCCTGTCGCCTTCTTGGCTGGCACCTTAGCTTTAGCAGCAGCTGCTGCAGCTGCCGCTGCTGCAATGGCAGCCTTAGCAACAGGGGCTTTTTTGGGGGAAGCTTTCAGGATAGCAGCTCTTTGAAGTTTCTTGACCTCAGTCTTGATTATCCTGTTCCTCTGGAAAAACACAGGAGAGCATAGCATTCAGGGCAGGCCTGCACAAAACATGCTTTATGTCCATTGTTTAACAATGAATTAAACTGCTTCTTCCACAGAACTAAATTTAAATAAGGACACTATTCTAGCATGATATAAGGATAATTCTGTGGGATCAGTTCTCTCCTTCCTCCATTTAGTCCCAACACTCAAAGTCAGGTCATTAGGCCAGCACCCTTACCCACTCATCTGTCTCGCTGGCCTGAAGCAGGGACTGGCCACTGTCTGCTTATACCAGGCACAGCACACAATGTGCGTCTCCAAACTCACCATTTTCTTTGCCTTCATGACTTTGAAACGATCAAAATCTGTCATCTTGGCTTTCTGTTGAAAGAAAACAAAATGATCTCTCCTGTCATTTACCAGCACACACCTGACCCTCCAGAGCTCAAGACTATGCCATTACCCTTTCTCTGGCATCAATCTTCTTGGCCCATCTCGTGGCTGCCCATTTTGTATTGATATCTGCCTTCTCCCAAGCTTTCCGCACATACTTCTGGCGGGCACTGTGAAGATGAAGAGCAAAGCCATGGATTAATCAAACAGCTTTGCAGTTGCGCATTCAACGACAGCAGCTCCCTCCTGCCATACCCTGCTTTAGGTGTCTCCCTAACAGGCATGCTAGACAATATCCAGAGTAATTTCAGAGACTGGAAAATCACCTGTCTGAACACATTCGATACTGCTTACACCTGTGCACATAATTAACAAAAGCCACTCCTTACACCTATTTATACTTTGTCTATTAACTTGGCCAAATTTCTTACCCACCCCAAACACCCTTACTTCTATGAACCTGTAACTACTCCAGTACAGTGAGTGACTAACCAACCCCATCCCTGAACTGCACTTGTCTCCCAAACCACTCAGGCTCCATCTATCCTGGTAGTACATTACAGAGGATGCTCCAGCACACCAAACATTGCTGATCTGACAGCCACACAGGGAGGCAGGACAGGGGTTTTAATTCGCATTTCCAAAAAGTTCTGCCTTCTTATGAGCTGGGAACATGCTTCTTTATGTTGCATACTTTGTAACCACCACACATAAGTCTAAAGGAGGGCATGGGAACTCCTTTAAATACACTAACTCCATCACCAAAGGAGGCCAAGTCAAGGAAGATAAATTTGGGCAACACCAGAAGCACCACAGGCCAACATGGACTCCGCTCAGTGGTCCTTCTCAACACAATGACACCACACGCACAGTTCTGCCCTAGCAACTACAGTAGCAACACACAAAAGCGACTCTGGGGATGAGTAAGTTTCTTTTGAATTTATTGTACAAAAAACAACAGAGGAGCCAGGCAATAGTGTTATGTGCCTTTAGTCCCAGCACTCAGGAGGCAGATGGATCTGAGTTCGAGGCCAGCCTGATCTACAAAGCTACACAGCGAAACCCCATCTCAAAAAAAGAGGTACCAAATATGGACAACTTCCATGATGGTAAAAGGACTGGGTGTCTTTAAGTAATTAAGGTAAGTTTGCTAAACCTGAGTTCTGGGTTGGCTCTGAACCCCGTGTTGCATGCATAATCTCAAGGATAAGAACAGACAGCCACACAAAACCGACAGGCATCTTACGTCAGGGAGTTACCTGTGTGGGAACTTGAGGATGAAGTCAGTGAGCTGCATGCACTTGAAAGGCATGGCCTGTCTCCTCACCCGCGTGCAAGGTCCATCCACTAAAGCCTAGAATAAAAACCGAGGATCTCAGACGGGAATCTGCAAACTATAAAATCTCTTGTCCTTTCCAGGACTGGATGTACACGACTATCCAAATAAAGCCACGTCCCAGAGACTGAGGTTACAGGCGCCACCACCCCAGATTCAGGGTCTTGAACAAAATCTACCAAGAACTTTACCTCAGGCCCCTGTGAACTCCTTTCATAGTTACCTCATTTAAACTCACCTGCGTTTTGAGCCTGACTAAAACATCTGCCCAGTGTACTTCGTGAGCTAACCTCATGTCTACACTGCTTCTGACCCGTGCCCAGAGTTCTCTCAAAGGTAAAGCTATAACCCAAAGGACCCCGCCCGAGGCCCATCTACGGTGTTGTCAGACCCACTGCCACGCTAAACACGAGGCTGTGAGACACCTCCTCTCACACGTACCCTGTTCTGATCGATCACGTCCACAATCGCGACCAGCTTCCCAGCATGAGGCCCAAAGGAGACGTAGGCCACCCGGCCAACCTCCACGAAGCGCCGGAACACCTAGGGCAGCGAGGGAAGAAAACTCGGGTTGGCTTCAACCCTTCCGAGTCCGCTGCAAACCGGGAACAACGGGGCTCGGAGCCGCCCGCCGGCCGGATCTGCACTTGGTGACGAACCCGCACTCCTCCCGGCTAAAACGTCCCGCGCACTCTGCCGCCATGCACCCCGTGCCTGCGTGTGCTCTTCTCACCCATCCTCGGAACTCTGCCGCTGGGCGCGGTGACACAGAGTCCCCGATCGATCGCCTCTGACGCCCTCCCCGGCTCGCAGCAGCGCCGCCACCCGCACCCCCGCCAGTGCGCACGCGTGGTCCAGGCCCAGGCCCGGCCCGGCGGGGCCTCCACGCGACCCCGAGCCGCGCTCCCCAGGGGCCGCGTTCCACGGCCCCGCCGCCTCCCCGCGCTCGGCCCGGGCCGCGCACAGCCACCCCACGCCGCGCCTCGCCCGCCCGGGGCGGAGGGCGAGCGTCACGACGGCCGCGCTCGGAGCCCTCGGCAGACACACACTCACCATGTCGGCGGCGTTCAGCGAGAAGGAAGAAGGCCCGCCCCGGCCGTGCGCATGTGCCGGCGGAAGCCCCGCCCCGACGTCCAGCGTGGCCGCCGATTGGTCGAGCCGGACTGCGTGCGCTTGCGCATGCTCGGTAGGGGGGAACATGGCGGCGGCGCCTCCGTCTCGGTTGCGCCTTCCCGCACACGTGCTGCTGTCTAGGCGGGTGTCGCTCGCAGCTGCGCCCCTGCCGTAGTTCCCCGTATGCTGGCGCGACAGGAACTGCAGGGACAGGAAGGACACAGGCAGAGCCTTGCGCTTTCTGTTCCTACGGTTCGCGCCCCACATCCTTCTGTCTCCGTGGGGTGGGACATCAGCCCTTGACCCCAGCACTCCGGAGGCAGAGGCAGCTGTGAATTCCAGGCCAGCTTGCTCTGCAAACCGAGTTCTGTGCCACCCAGGAATTTATAGCGAGATCTTGTTTTTTTTTTTTTTTTTTTTTAAAAATACAAATTTAAGGGACAATGGGGACAAGAGAGGGCCGGGGTTGGATCCAGAGTCGGTGATCTCCAGGTTTTAGCATCTCACGCTTCCTTTGCATAGTTTAGATTGAAAACAAATCTCCCTCCACCCTCCCATGTCGTTTCCTTCGTATTTATCATTCTTTCATGCCCGCATACTCGTGAGTGGGTGAGGCCAGTGCTTCTGAGAGTTGGTTTTCTGCTTCCACAAAGTAGGTCCCTGGGACTGAGCTCAGGTTGTCAGACCTGGCAGCAAGCACCTTTACCCAGAGTCTTTTGTTGTTTTGTTCAAATGTTTTTGTTTGTTTGTTTTGAGAGAGGATCTCTCTATGTAACCCTGGCTAACCTGGAACTAGGTAGATCAGGCCGGCTTCCTCCCAAGTGCTGGAATTAAAGGCCTGGGCCACCATGCCCAACCCTTTTTATTTTTCTACTAGCACAAACTGGTAACTATGGAGACCCATAAGCAAGATAATGGCTAACTTCTGGTGGCCCTGCAGCAACAAAGTCTCTGAGACTTTGGAACAATGTGGGTGAAATTCACACAGGACCCTAACTGAAGTAAACAGGAAGAATATATATTGTATTGTTTTATTCTACATAAAATTCACATCAGCAAAAGCCTGAGTGTCAGAAGTATGGATTGTGGCTCTGGGAGGTGTTTCAGTGGGTAAAGCACTTAGGGATAGGTAAGAAGTTCAAATCCCTTTAACACCCACATAACCGTACTTTGAGTGTGGTGGCCTGTCTTGTAATTCCAGCCCTCAGGAGTCGGAGGCAGTCAGATCCCAGGGGCTTACTGGCCAAAGAACCTAGCCTACTTGGTGATCTCCAGGTTCCACAATAGACCTTGTCTCAAAGACTGAGGTGGGAAGCAATGAAGGAAGATGCCTGAAGTCAACTACTAGCTTCTACATCCGTGCACACACAACTGAACATGCAGGTGAACTCATGTGGTAACAGACAAGCAAAAACAACAAGACAAACTAGTATCAATCTCGTTTTTTCCGTGGTGCACACCGCAGTTGCTGGAGGGCAGCAGGCTTCATGCTGTCCCTTCATCCCAACAGTAAGATACAAGATGTTTACTTTGTGCAGACAAAGATCTCCCCTTAGCAGCTGCGCCCCTCCCCCAAGTGTGTATTAACTTGAAAACAAAGAAAAAACCCAACACCTTTTACTTCTTGATGAGAGTTCCCTGGCCCTGCCATAACCAGAGAATTGAATGCAGATCGCGGGAGGGCTGAGATGGTTTAAGGTTCAGTGGTGTACTAAATACACTTTGGGAAACACTGGGTAAATCCTTCCGTTTACAGGACTTTTCCATGAATGTCAGTGTTCTCTTTTACACCCTAGCCTACAGGATGACATGTATAACCTGGAGTCCCAAGGTCGGTCATCTCACCTGAACATTCTCCGATGTTTTGTTTTTTCCTCCTGGAAAGACCGGAGCACACCTTTACCCAGAAGCATCAGGCTGCTTCAGGTTTCTTTCAAATTCTGTCTCATTGACAAGGGAACATTTTCCCAAACAAGTCTTGTCTTTGCCGTAGTGCAGCGCTTCTCAGCCTTCGGGTTGAGACCCACAAGGGTTGCCTCAGACCATTAAAAGGCACAGATATTTACATTACAATTCGTAACAGTAGTAAAATTAGTTACGAAGTAGCAATGAAAGTAATGTCATGGTTGGGGGGCAGCGCAACTTCAGGAACTGTGCTAAAGGGTTGCAACATCAGGGAGACTGAGAACCTTATGAATCGTAATGTATGCAAGATATCCGCTATTCAACCATATTCAACCCAGACCCAAGGAGGTCTCCACCGACAGGCTGAGACCCGGGAATCACCTGCTACAACCCTCTGGAAGCAGACAGCAGACACCCAATCAATGAAAGGAAGAGCATGTGAGACACACACACACACACACACACACACACACACACACACACACACACCCCGCCCCCAGTCAAGCCAGAGTCGCCAAGCTCTGGTTCCTTGAGCCTCTCTCTGCCCAGCGCCCATTAAAAGGCGGTTGGTCGAAGGGCTGGAGAGACTGTTAGGATAAAGCTTGTGGGGATCCTTGGCAGCAAGGGTGACCAAGGCGGAGGGACAAACATGCCAGACAGACAGAGCTTAAGTGAGAAGTTTCTTTAGAAAGGGGAGCGAGGGGGTAAGGAAGGAGAAAAGAGGTAAAGCGGCACAGAGACACCAAGGCAGAGAGAGAGAGAGAGACGAAGGAGACCGGAAATGTCCTGCCTGCCCCAGGGGAAATGGGGGAAGAGAGCAGGAAAGAGAGACGTGGGAAGAGCATGAGTGGGCGGGGTCTGTCTTTTAAAGGGTCCTTTGCACCTGCATGCAGACTACAAAATCATGGAACCCTGGGCTGACCAGGGCACTGCCTGAGTGCGTTCTGCCAGGTGACAGAGGCAGGCCAGGGTAATGCCTGAGTCCTTACAGGGATGGCTTAGCAGAGTTCAATTCCCAGTATCTACAAGCACCTGTAACTCCAACCCAAGCGGATCGGATGCCTCTGGCCTCCAGCCGCACATATACATAAATGGAAAGAAGAGAAAAAGCCTGGCGGTGCTGGCACCTACAAGGAGGGAAGCCCTGGGAATGCTCAGGAGATTCCGGCAGCCGCCCTTGTCACCTGGCCCCACCCCCTGTAGCAGAAATCCATGTGGAAGACACAGGGAAGACAGACAGCGAATACCCTGCCCATATCACAGGCCCGATGCCCCCCCACGGCTTCTGCCAACATCTAGCTACTCTGGGGATGTACCTCGAATTTCCTACTCAGCATGGGTGCCTCAGTTTGACAGAGGAAGTGTTTGAAGCCTCAAAGAGAAAAGCAAAAACAAAAACAATGTCTGTGCAAGTAGTGAACCCAAGGCTACCCTGCCCCTGACTGTCTCCTTTAAAAGGAATGTAATTATTAGGAACAGGTGTGCACATCCACCCGCGCATGTGGAAGGTAGAGCCCGTGCAGGGCGCCCGGATTTGCTTCCTGCTGTGATGAGAAAACACCAAAAGCAACTGCAGAAGCCAAAGTTATATTTTAAGTTTTAGTTACTGTGCCTAAGATCCATAAAGGAAAAAATGCCTCTAGCCTGTAAGCTCCTTGCCCAAGGACAGACACTTCCTGGAATGCTGGAGGCTGTTGTCTATGGGAGATAACAAGTCACTGGTTTTCACTCCCCTAAACACGTTCATTTGACTCAACGACACCAAGTGTGCTGAATCATACGTGAGGATACATGCTTCTCCATGACTGAAGCTGATGGGAAATACAGTGCCTTGTGGGACTGCCTGTTTTTCTTTTGGTTTTTCAAGACAGAGTGTCTCGGTATAGCCTAGGCTGGCCTCACAGTGATCCGCCTGCCTCCGCCTCCCAAGTGCTGGAATTAAGGGTGTGTGCCGCCACCCTACAGGGGCACGAGCGAGTGCCTTTTAAAGCCTCTACAAGGCATGATTTGTGGCCATTGTCTGGGAACCCAGAGGTGGACCTGGCTAGAGAGCCCATCAACCTCGCCAGTATTCAAGTAAAGCGTGCTTCAAAATTGGCTTTAAACCATGATAGTGGTCTCTTTCTTGACTGGTGGGACCAACACAAGTTGAGGAGGAAAGGGTTTATTTGGCTTACAGCTTACGGGCCACCATGGAGGGAAGCCAGGGCAGGAAGCCGGAGGCAGGGACGTGCTCCCCTTCCTTGCTCAGTCTGCTTTCTTACACTTCCTCCCCAGGGTCACCTGCCCAAGGGTGCAATGGCCCCCGGTGGGCTGGGCCCTCCCACATTAATCACCAATTAAGAAAGGGATCCGTAGCTGGGCGTTGGTGGTGCACGCCTTTAACCCCAGCACTCGGGAGGCAGAGGCAGGTGGATTTCCGTGAGTTCTAGACAAGCCTGGTCTACAGAGAGAGAGTTCCAGTACAGGCTTCAAAGTCACAGAGAAACCCTGTCTCGAAACACACACACACACAAAAAGTGTTCCACAGACTTCCCTCTCATGGAGGCATTTCTCTCTTCCCAGATGTGTCAAGTAGACATGCACAGAGCAGTACACTGGGCGTCTCCCTCAGTCACTCTTCACTCTCTTTTGAGGGAGCCTTTCACTGAGCTAGTTCAGTTGGGCTGCTCACCGAGCCCCACATGTGTGCCTGTCTCCACCCGCCTCACACTAACATGGCCACTCAGTCCATCAACCATAACTCTCTCTCTTTCTGTCTCTCTCTCTCTCGCGTGCGTGCGTGCATGCGTGCGTGTGTGTGTGTGTGTGTGTGTGTGTGTGTGTGTGTATCCACATTCAGGCCGTTATGGACAACAAGCACTTTACCCATTTTGTACGTGTGGTGTGTGTGTGTGTGTGTGTGTGTGTGTGTGTGTGGTGGGGTCACCTTGGACCTCAGGGAAGGTATCCAATCCCATAAGGCTACAGGCACCAATGATTGTGAGCTAAAACTGAACTCTAATTCTCTGCAAGAGCAGCAAGAAAGCACTCAACTTCTGAGTCAACTCTGCAGCCCCAAATGAGCCCGTTTTAGACCATTTCTTGTTACTTTATGTGTATGGGTGTCTGCATGTATTTCCGAGCCCCAATCGCAAACAAACTTAGTACCTGCAGAGGCCAGCAGAGGGCATCGCATCCCCTGGAAATGAACTTTCGTAGCAGGCTATGCGCTGCCCTGTAGGTCGCCCTCAAGAGCAACAAGTACCAGTGAGCAGTGAGCGTCTCTCCAGCCCCTCTCAATCAACCCCACATCCTGAGAAGTCTGCCTTTGCTGGAGAGCGAAGTGTGAAGCACCTCTGTGTGAGAAATCCCAGGGAAAAACTTCCTGTTGGGACAGGTGCAGGGAGCTGAGTGAAGGAATGTTCCGGGCAAGAGTGACTACAAATTCTTACCACCCTGCAACATATGCACAAAGGCCCTCTCCATCCTTGCTCTGGGCTTGCTGTGTCACACTCAGAGAGCATCGGAGAGGGTAGCATCAGAGAGGTGCTCTGGAAGACTGCCCGGGCTTGACTGTGCTAGCTCCAATGAGTGTTCTCACAAGTTTGTTTTGAGTTCTGTTACCTGCTTACAGTGACTCTTCTGAGTGAGTCTGTGGTCCAGGGTAGACAGCACATGGTACCTGTATTCTGTAGAACTGGGTCCTGGGGAGCTTCACTGCAGGAGGCTTGAGGGATGGAGCATGAGACAAGCAGGAATGTGACTCAGCGGTACGAGTGTTTTCTGGGATACATGAGAACCTGGGTTCAAACCCCAAACCCTGTCAAAATTAATACACTTAAAGCCAATCACAGTGGTTCACTAAAGAAAACAGGCATGCATGGGTTGTTCTTAAATACAAGTGGCCCTTTATATTTCCTTGATTTTTTTCTTTGTTATTATTAGGTCATAAAAACTTTGGAAGGAAGGCTTAGGTGAAATCTTAGGAAGTTGATTTTACAATTGAAAATATTGTGTATAAGCTGTGTGTGGCAATGCATGGCTGTAATCCCAGCGCGCAGGTGGCTGAGGTGGAAGACGCCAAGCTAGGCTGGGATGCACAGCAAGTACCCGGGCTGCAAGGCAAAACTTTCTCAACGCCAAAGCAAGGGCTGGGGAGGTGGCTTAGCGGGTGATGTGCTCGCGTGAGGACCTGAGTTCAACCCCGGGAATCCACATTACAGAGGAGAGAGAGAGAGAGAGAGAGAGAGAGAGAGAGAGAGAGAGGAAGCCATGCATGAGAGTGTAAAAACATGTAATCCCCATGCTGGGGGTGGCATATGAGACTGGTGAGTTCCTGGGCTAGATGGCCAGCTAGAAATACAGTGGGCTAGCTCAGTTAGTTCTCCCCTCTGCCCCTCTCTGGCTGTGGTTAGCCCCCAACCTCCTTTTCTACGGTGAAATGGCATCTCAGAGATCTCTGTCTGATAGGTGCACACTTGCGATCCCAGCTACTCGGGAGGCTGAGGCGGGAGCAATAAGGCTGGGCTGTACCAATGTGCACAGGTCTGTGTTGGAGATCAGGTGTGAGTGTTTTTAAAACTGTGTGAGATGCTTTGTGAGCAGCAGTAGTGGTAGAGAGCCAGTATGAGCGCGTGTGCGTGTGTGCGCACTTGTGTGTGTGTGTGTGTGTGTGTGTGTGTTAGACATTTGAGGGTATGGGTATCTGTACAAGGAACACAGATGTAGGGGCCATGAGAGTTGGGATAGCTGGAACAGTGTATGGGATGGGGCAGGTATGGCTTTGTGAGTATGTAGATACAAGCAGGGTTGGGGTATCTGCGGTGTAGATAATGTGTGCAGAACACAGCTGAGTGAGGGTCATCAGGTAGAGCTGGCTTACAGGTGTGCGAAACAAAGAGAGGAGAGACACTCAGAGCTGGCTTTCCTGCCTATCCAACTGAGCACTTGTTATTTAGCGATGATCCTGAACACTCAGCAGTTTTGAAAGTAAGCACAGAGAATGTTCTGGTTTTATTAGGCACGTGTTTGTTTTTAAATAAACTGGGAGGCTCTCAGAAGTCAGAGATTGGCAAGTAAAACAAAATGCTTACCGTCCTCTTTTAAGATTTATTTCACTTAAAAAGTTTTTCATTGACTAACTTTTATGTGTATGCCATTTTGTTTGCACGTTTGGCTGTGTACTGTATGATGGAGGAGGTTAGAAGAGGGACTCAGCTCCCTGGGACTAGAGACATAGTCAGTTGTCAGCTGCCATATTGGTGTGGGGAACTGAACCCAGGTCCACTAGAAGAGCAGCCAGTACTCTTAACCAATGAGCCATCTCTCCAGCGCCTGTTTTTATATCTGATATAAGCATCTTTGTGAGTTTGTGCAAGACCCCATCTCAAACCCAAAACAAGGGCTGGGGAGATGGCCCAGTTGGTCACGCAAGCCTGAAGATCTGTGTTCAGTACCCAGAACTCACGTTAGTGGGTAGAAAACAAAAACCCGGAATCCCAGCACCAATGAGCCAGAGGCAGAGCTCCACAGGAAGGGTCTCCTCCTTTTAAAACACTACCCTGTCTCCTTTGCAGGAAGGGCCTTATATCCAAGTTAGCAGACACATACTGCAAAATAAAAATAAGAGTTTATTCCATATGGTGCCAACAACCAGCCATGCGAAACAGCATTGGTTTGCAGCTTGTAGCTCTGGGCTTGCTGGAGCCCTTTCTCATCCCTCTTTGGATGTGAATATTCCCAAGATTGCATTTTCTTTCCCCCAAATCAAGATGTGCAGCAGCTACTTGGGGAGAGCTGTAAGCAATCAGGGGAAGTAACTGATCAGAAATTCCAGACTGGGATGCTTTAGCGCAGGGTCGAGTACACCCGTGAGAGTTGTGGGGAAAACCACATGCCATGATGACAGTTTGCCAGGTCGGTGAGATCCACAAGGATGATGACACACACCGAGTCCAATCTCAAGACCAGAGCCTCGTGCGGGGATTCCACAACAAGGACAGCTACTGTTTTAGTGACTTCTATGTGTCTGTGCGTCAGGCTCTGGCTACATGACAGAGGCCAGGAATCCTTGGGGCCACAGAGTCTTCTTAGCTGGGGATGTGGTTCAGTTGGTAAAATACTTGCCTAGCATACACGAAGCCCTGGGGTTCTAGCCCCAGAACCTCATAAACCAGGTACGGTGACTCAAAGCCATAATTACAGCACTCAGGAGTAGATCAGATGTTGAAGGTCATCCTGGGCCTTACAGTGAGTTGGGTGGAGGCTAGCATGGGCTACATGAGACTCTACATTTATCACCTTCCCCACTAAATGCTACATCCTACCAGTCAGGGAGCTCAATGCTTATGGCATTGCTAAAGCAACGTGTCAGTGGCTTGAGACAAGGCTGGACTCAACTAAAAGACAAGAGAGTCTTACAAAGGACCTATAGGGTAGAGCATGGGGCGAGGTGTCTGAGTTGGAGCCTTCATGGGTGCCTTGCTAAGAGGGATAGTGGCAGAGGGAAAATGGAAACTGAGTCCTGTGGTCAGTACTTCCACGTTAAATTACTATATTCTCAACTTCCTCTAGAGTGGATGGAATGAAGTCCCTGAATGTGACTGCCTGTGTCTCCTTGGTTCCCAGTGGATCAGTGATTAGGTCGGGAGGGGCCGCAGGGACAACTCCCACTGGGTAGTTGAGGGACTCCCGGGAGGTTCTCTGGCAGCAGCTGCGAGGCACATGACCTTGGCATGTAAGGATGGATCGCGTCCTGGTGGCAGCCACTTTGCTCACACTGCCTGGTGTCAGTCTGGCGGGCTCCAGGCAGCCTCGGGCTCCAGTTGTCCCTTGAAGACTCAATCAGAATCTACTGCTTGGTCGAAGGCATTCTCAGAGTGTGCCTTTGTCCTGAATGCCGAACACAGATACAAAAGGAATGCCAGGCACAGCAAGGCGATGGCCGTGAACAAGGCCAGGACTCCCATAAAAACCGGTGGCTGTATGGGCAGACGGATCAGGCTACTTCCAGCTGGGATCTGGTTGGTCAAACTGAGCATGTAGCCTAGGGACCAGGAGATGCTGCTGTTCCCCACCTGTGGAGGAGAGTGGGTGGCTCAGGCCTCAGGCAAAGCTGCCCATGGTCCCAGCCCACACTACTGTCAGCCTCACAAGGGCACCCTATGGTCTAAGAAGGTCAAAGGGTTTGCCTAAGTTCTGGGCAGCCCAAGTGAGAAGCCCGTTGTGTTCATTTCTTCTGGTCAGTCCCCCTCCCCTCCCTCCCCTCCCCTTTTCCCTTCCCTCCCCTCTCCCCCTCCCCTCCCTTCCCTTTTCCCTCCTCTCCCCTTTTCCCTCCTCTCCCCTTTTCCCTCCTCTCCCAGTCCCCTCCCCCTTCCCTCCCCTTCCCTTCCCCTGCCCCTACTTTAAAACAGGGCCTCACTGAGTAACTCCTTCTGGTCTGGAATTCACTCTGTAGACCAGGCTAGCCTGGAACTCAGAGCTCCACCTGTCCTTGCCTCTAGAGAGAGTACTGGGATTAAAGGTGTGCACCACCACATCTGGGCTTCCAGCTTTTTTTTTTTTTTTTTTTTTTTTTGACTACCTTATTTGATGTTTTTTTAGGCATCTCCATATTTTGAGTTTGCAATCTTTATAGTGAAGCGAATTTATCATCTGTGTCCTTCATCTCAAATGATGATCTTCTTCAAAATTGTTTAGCCAGATATTAAATGGCAGCACCAGTTTTTTCTGTGGGTAATATTTCCTTGTTATTTATTTATTCATATTACACTTTTGCATAGTGGTGTGTGTATGTGTGTGGGTGTGTGTCTTCGTGTGTGTGGGGTGTATCTGTGTTCGCATGTATGTGGGGGGGTGTTTGTGTGTGTGTGTGTGTGTGTGTCTTCATGCAGGTGTAGAGCATATCATAGCATGCATGTAGAAAACACAAGACAACTTTCAGGAGTAGGTTCTTTCCTCCTATGATGTGGGTCCTAGAATGGAACTCAGAGTCAGGCCTGGAGGCAAGTGCCTCTATCCACTGAGTCATTTCATTGACCCTTCGCTTAATACTAAGAAACCTCTTTTTTTTTAATTAAAGATTTGTTATTTATTGTGTTCTGTCTGCATGTATGCTTGTAGGCTGGAAGAGGGCACCAGATCTCATTATAGATGGCTGTCAGCCACCATGTGGTTGCTGGGAATTGAACTCAGGACCTCTGGAAGAGCAGCCAGTGCTTTTAACCACTGAGCCATCTCTCCAGCCCAAGAAACCTTTTTTTTTTTTTTTTTTTTTTTTTTTTAATTTTAACTTTCAATTTGTATAATTTTTTTTAACTTTTAACTTACGTATCAGTATGAGACAGGATGTCATACATTACCGGCTGGTCACGAATTTACTATGTAGCCGATGATGACCTTGAATTCCCAATCCCCATGCTCTATAGGTGCTTGACACCATGCCTGGCTAACACAGAATGTAACAGACATTCAGCATGAGTTAGAATCTGTTTGCAAGCCACGCCCTTTGCTCTTGCTGCAAGGTCCCCAAGCACTAACCCGAGAAGCAGCCTGGCTTGTTGAGTTTTAACAATCTAATCTGACCATGTTTGTCTCCATAACAGAACTGGTAGTTTGAGCTTCCCGGCCTGGCCTCAAAAACATGTTGTAGCTGAGATGACCTTGAACTCCTGATCTCCTGCAACCTGAGTGTTGGGATTAGGGATGTACAAGCTGGCTTTGGGGGTACTGGGGAAGCTGGGGTTCTACCCAGGTACAATATATGTTAGACAAACGTTCTACCAACTGAGCCATATCCTAGGCTAGACCTTGAGACTAATGAAATGGATGATTTGAACTTCTAATATTGTTTTAATGATCTCAATTCATGTTGATTCCCTGAATTTATTTTCCTCTGTTCTTGCCTCACGATGGTATATGGTGGCTAAACAGCTGAGTGCAGACTGCTATTGCAGAGAGCACAAGTTCAGTTCCCAGTACCCACACTGTGGTTCCAACAGCCTACAACTTCATGCTTCAGCACCTACACACACACACACACACACACTGACACACAAACACTCATACACACACTCACATACACACTCACACACTCACACACATACACTCACAGATACACAACACACACTCACACACATACACCACACACACACACCCTCACACACACACACTGACACGCACACACTCCTACACGCACTCTGTGTGAAGGTCAGAGGTCTTGCAGACAACTTGCAGGGGTCAATTTTCTTCTCCAATGTGTGTTTGGGAAATAACTCAGGTCAAAGGGCTCACTGGGAAGTGATTTTACCAGCTGAGCCATCTGGGCTGGCCTCTGGAAAGAAATTTAAACCAAGAATGTTTCCTCAATGAGGAGATGGTGGTCTCCATTCTTAGAGTCCTCGACAGATGCTAACTCGGCTCACAGGCCAAAGCCCACACCTCTAGACATCCTCTTTTTTTTTTTTTTTTTTTTTTTTTTTTTTTTTGTAGATGACTCAATTTTACTTACATGAAAATAGACAGTTCCAGTCTTAATTCGGGATATTGATTGGATTAATCCAATTTTACCAAAGCTGGAACAGAACAGAATGGCTCCAGACATCCTTTAGGCTTTGCCACAGCCAGTCCTCAACTGAGAGCATCCTACCGGAACTGGGAGATGCAGTGTGGCCGGACAGACTCAAAAGGCAAGTCCTGCGTGAAACAGCCATCCCTCCACCTCCTTAGTCACAGGGCCGTGTCTGTCCAACCATCTAGCTAGCTTGCTATCACCTATCTGTCCATGTGCCTAATTTATCTGTCCACCTACTTCCAGCTATCTATCCATCTTCCATCTTCCTCTCGTAGGTAATTATTGCCTACCATTCCACTACCCACCCCCCATCCCATACATTCATCTATCATCCGTTTAATCTACCTATCATCTATAATCTCTCTATCATCCATTGTCTGCCTACTAACACCTATCTATTACTGAGACAAGAAGGCCCTCCCCATCCCTGAGTTTTGTCTGTAAACACAGTGAGCTAGGGTTCCTTTACAGAGAAAGATTCCTATCTAATGAGGAGCCGATGTGAACGCCGCATGCCCTCAACACTGCATCTTACATCGTCTCTTGTGTATCATGGAGAGCAATTAATTATTCTGCTATAAAACAAATTATAAGCCAGGAGTGGGGCAGTGTACATCTTTAATCCATGTACTTACATAGTTAGCTCCAGGCCAGCCTGGGCTACATAATGAGACCATGTCTCAAAAAAAGAGAGAGAGAGAAAAAAAGTGAATTCAACTTGTAGCCCTGTAGGGATGAAAAGTCTCAGGTACTTACATGTCCCATTCTCTCACCAAAACCTTCCTCAGTACTGACCGCACTCCAGCCTGAGCTGAAGGCTGGCATTTGCCTTGCCCAGACACCCCGCCCTCGGGCACCCATCCATTGGCCCTCAATTCCAATCCTCTCATCTGCGGCAATCTCCTGAGACAACCACTTTAAATTCTGTCACCTCTCTTCCTGGGATGTTCACAGGTGACCGGCAAGATCAGGTCAGGTCATCCTTTAACCCCTGACCTGTGGTCTACATCCATGCATATCACCCTTTCCATGGCCAGCAAAAAGAGAAAAGAGGAAAAAGACTCACTTCTTTCTCAAATCGTATCTGAGGCCAAGTCTCCTCCGTGAACTTGTACCCGTTCACCAGCAGGTGATAGACGTAGTGAGCCGAGAAACAGTAGGAGCGGGCATACACCTCATCAAACCTGGGAAGCAGGGACGGGAGCTGGAAAGGAGGTAAAGACCCCAGCGTGGGGTGGACAAGTGAGTCCCAAACCTGCACCCGGGAACACTTGACGGTGACAGCAGTGGTTCAAAGCCCATCGGGACTTCAAGATGAAAATGACAAATAACACAACCTCACAGAACTGAAACATCTACCCAGTGTCGCCTCATAATCCAGAAGGTCACGGAGATTGTTCACAGCAGTGCGGCTGGCTTCTACCTGCCATGCTTTTCCCTTGCTTATTTATTTTCAGATGGGGGGGTCTCACATCGTCCATGCTAACCTTGAACACACAATGTGCACACACACACACATATACTCACATGCACGCATAGGTGCACACACATACATGCGTATGTGCACGCACGCTCACTTATAAACCACAGACACACTCATACATGCATTCGGGAACATGGTCTGAGAATGGAGTCCTGTGAAGGGAATTCTGAGTGCTTGTGAGAAAAACTGCAGGAGAACAAGACAAGAGCCTCGTGACCTGTTTCTTCAGGACCCAGGACTGTTCTTGGAAGGCGTCTTTGTGCTCCTCCCGGGTGGAGCGGACAGGAATGCGTTTACTTCTGATTATGTGTCACAGCTGTTTACCTGCCTCTATGGAAAACACGTCTTGGCCACGTGTGGCTTGCCTGCCACGTGTGGCTTGCCTGCCACGTGCAGCTTGTCCTTGCGAGTGTACACTTTACTCAGGTGATGCTTCTTAACCCTCGGAGCATAAATTGTCTGACGCTCTGAATAAAGTTGGCTATCGCACGGGGACTTTAGTCCGCCTGATTTGTCAGCTCCTTTCATACATATTTATACCCACACACACGTGTGCGCACACACATGCTTGAGCCTACACCCACACACATGTACACACATACGTGCACACACAACCTGCTGAGAGTACGTGCACACAGATGTATACACACACACACACACACACACACACACACGTGTTCTGCTGTACTGTTTGCCCTGATTCTCACTCTCTCTCTCCTTTCTAATACTGACCTCTGTCCAGGTGTGTCTGCAGAAGTCCCAGCTGCTGGTGTTGAAGGAGGCGAGGGAGAAGGTTCCGGAGAGGTTTAGTGCACTGGCTGTGTAGTAGAACCCAGCAAACGCCTGCGAGCAGGACAGAGGCAGTGAGTCCTCTAAAGGTGTGTGCTATGGAGCTATCCGGGGAGGGAATAAAGCCGGCGGGACAGAGGACGGACGGGGATGGCGGAGGGACACTCTCCCGGGGATGCAGAGCCCCCACACCTACCAACTGATCTTTGGTCTCACCACAAACGGCCCTTGAACCTTGGGCTGGTAAACGCCATCGAAGGAGCAAGCGTCTTGCTCCTGGCAAGCTTTGAAGTCAAATACAGAAGCCACCTTCTCCCTGCACAGCCATGGGTCCCCAGTTCCCGTGAAGGTGACAACATCATCAGGGTTGTAGCTGTCTGGCCTGTGCTTCTCTGTGCACAGGCTGCCGAACACGTGGCCCAAGCTGAAGACGGAGCTGTAAGCCCGAGGGTAGCAGGGGTTGCTGATGTTTCCAGTGGGAGAGCCCTGGAGGTGTGGCGGAGAGGAGTGAGATGGGGCATTTCCTTCTGGAATATTCTCCTGACCACTACCCTGCAGTGCCCCAGGAGAGGCTGAGAACAACCATCACACACTGCTCTGCTGCTGGAGAGAGCAGGATCCTGAGAGCCCTGCCCAACAGCCTTTTCCAGTCACATGGAACATGTATGTATAAGACAGGCAGACAAATCAAACATTGGCTCATGACAAAAATCATATCGATTTATTCTACAACAGTCTGGGAGGGGCAGGGAGATAGATGGCTCAGTCAGAAAAGTGCTACCTGCTCAAACAGGAGGATCGTGTGTGTGTGTGTGTGTGTGCGTGTGTGTGTGCGTGCGTGTGAGAGAGAAAGAGATAGAGTGTGTATGTATGTGTGTGTGTATGTGATGTGTGAGTATGTATATGTGAGTGTGTGTGTGTGTGAGAGAGAGAGTGTGTGTCCGTGTGTATGGCGTATATATGTTGTGTATATGTGTGTGTATATGTGTGATGTGTGTGTATATGTGTGAGTGTGTATATGTGTGAGTGTGTGTGAGTATGTATATGTGTGAATGTGTGTGTGAGTGTGTATATGTGTGTGTGCTCTCACAGGTGCATTTGTGCACACACCTGTGGAGATTAATCTCAGGCGTGGTCCTCCAGTGCCGTTCACTTGGTTTTCTTTCTTTTAGTAAGATGATGATGATGAATATTATTCTGAGAAAGTGTCTCACTGTGTAGCCCTGTTTGGCTTAGAATCACTATATAGACCAGGCTGTCCTCAAATTCATAGGGATCCACTAGCCTCTGCCTCATGAATGCTAGGATAAAAAATATGTGCCAGCCAGGCATTGGTGGCATACGCCTTTCATCCCAGCATCCAGGAAGCCAGATCTCTGTGAGTTCAAGGCCAGCCTGGTCTACTGAGCGAGTTCCAAAGCAATACAGAGAAACCCTGTCTCGCAAACCATGAGACTATGATGTCATTTCTGCCCACTCTGCAGACTGGAGTGAAAAGGGACAGACAGACAGACAGAGCTCCTCCCCGGCTCACACCCCCCCACTCAGCACCTGCACGAGCATGGCCAGGAACTTCTTCTCTGCCTCGTTGCGGCCGTAACACTGAAAACTGTGTGTGTAGAGCGTGTACGTGTAGCCGTACAAGGACACCTTCACCGTGTCACTGGCGTTTGGCTCCATCTTCTCTCCGGACACAAAGGATATCTGGGTGGAGGCGCCGCCCAGATCCAGGGCCCCTGTGGTGTCTACTCCGTGCGGGTGGACCCACATGTGCCATAGGTTTTTCTGCGTAGCGGGAATAGGAAGTGAGAGGAAAACCAGACACCATCTCCGTTGCCCCGGGCTCTCCACCCAAGTTCCAAGTCCCACTGCTGGGCAGGGTGACACACTCGGGGCTGATTCTCTCTCTTAGTACGGTGATTATGAGCTGAATTGGTTATACAAATGCACGCAGCATAGACAGGAAGTCAGGCAACAAACTAGGGTGTGCTGCCCGGCTGGGAGCTCCCTGCTCCCCCCCCCCCCCCGAACTATGTCTAAGGCCTCCAAAGCCGGGAGAGGACAGATGCGTGCAGTTTCATGTGAGATCTCCCCAATATCAATCACGTTAATTAACTTGAAAATTCAAAATATGCTTGTGGGGGGAGTCAAAGGTCTAGTCTGGGATGTGGTTTGAATATATCTGCAGGGAGGGGACGGGAAGGAGGCCAGGGGCACAAGCAGACTCCTTCTCCCTGAACAAAGAACGATAACTCTGTAATAAATTTCCAGGAAGTTTGGAACAGCCATCCCCACGATCCCCTTCTAAACATCTGAGGCCCAGGGTTCAATGCAGATTCCTCCCAAATTTCTTATGAATGAGCAAAGTGATGCGATTTCTCACCTCATCCACGCACTTGGTCCTTAGCTGGTGTCCCCGAGTGCTTCCCCAGTGCATTGCATGGATGGAACCCACCCTGATCCAGGACCTCCACCCAGCTATCACCCACCGGGACGGGATAAACAGTGAGATGAGAAACCATGCGTTTCTTTCCACACACCTCCAGGAAATTTCCCATTATATAGTTGGCTGTAATCCATCCATACACCCCTTCCTCTTGTCCAGAAATGATCTGAGCACCCCTAAAATCAAAAGGCTGGGACTTGAAGTAGCTTTGGATGCTCTCAAGGACTTCACGAGCTGCTGTCTCGTTCTGCAACCTACGCAACGCACAGAACACAAGAGTCTGAGCACCGAGTCAAGGCGGGCTCCCATCAGCTCCCTTAAGTGACAGCCTCCTCCCGGCCCATTTTATAGATCTCCCAGGGTGGCTGGGAAGGTGGGGTGCACGTTGTTACCTGCCAGAGTCCCACTTGTCATTGCCCGCCCCCTCCCGGGCCCCTGACTGGTCCTTCCACCAGGGGGTGGGTAATCAGGAAGACTTGCCCCAGCTCTGGCCAGTGGAGGGCGTAAGACTGGACAGGGCACAGCAGTGACTGATGGTCTCTGGGGGCCTCACCTGGACAAAGCACATGAGCTTAGGGTGCAAGAGGAAGGGACACCAGGGTCAGAGAGCACCAGCATGCCACCCTCAGAGGCCCTGACAGCACAGTATCACCAGGTTACCCAGGGACAACGCCATCCTAGCTCCTTCCTGCCGCGGCACCCTACAGAGCAGTGGATCTCAACCCGTGGGCCGTGGCCTCTTTAGGGGCCACACAACCCTTTCACATGGGTCACCTGTCAGATACCCTGCATATCAGATATTTGCATTATGCTTCCTAACAGCAGCAAAATCAGAGTTAGGAAGTAGCAGCGAAAATAATGTTATGGTTGGGGGATCACCCCAACGCAAGGAACTCTGTTAAAGGGCCTCAGCATTGGGAAAGTTGAGAGCCGCTGCTCTAGAGAAAGCTAACATGGAGGCAACTCTCCCTTTGTTTGTGGGGAAAGGAAGCTGGGGTGTTTGCTCGCTCAGGGAGGGAAGGAGGAAAAGGCCCTGGTTGCTTCCAGCAATGGTAAGGATAAAGAAACATCTAGAGGTCCCACCCAGCAGGAGAGGCCCTGGGCTCTTTACGTGCCCAGCCTGCCTCGTTCTTTCTCCTGCTGGGATCATGAGCAAGACACCTTACTTCCAACACCCTGGGCAGCCTGCACCCCGGACAGATTACACCCCCCCCCTCTCCCTTCCTTTCTTTTCTTTTAAAGATTTATTTATTATGTATAGTGTTCTGCCTGCATGCATGCCTGACAGCCAGAAGAGGGCACCAGATCTCATTATGGATGGTTGTGAGCCACCATGTGGTTGCTGGGAAATGAACTTCTAGGAGAGCAGTCAGTGCTCTTAACCCCCAGCCATCTCTGCAGCCCCATCTGGGATTATTTTTAAAATTCCATTTCAAGGTGAAAGCAACACTATAAAGAGGAAATGGAGACGGCTGGGGAAGTAGCTCACTGGTATAACACTTGCCTAGAGTGTGCAAGGTCCTGGGTTCGATGCCCAGCACAGAGAAACAAAATAAAACAGAGAAAGAACATTAAATGTGGCATGGTGGCTCACACCTATAATCTGAAGAGGCAGGAGGATAGCTATAAGTTCAAAGACAGCCTGGGCTATATATGTAAGTTGCAGGCTAACCTGAGCAACAGAGTAAAACCCTATCTTAACAAAACAATGACCACACACACACACCTATTAGCGTCCCTAAGATCAATCTCATGTTCTGCAGATTCAACAGGAACAGAGTGGATGGAATGAGATGTTTGTTCCATAAAAATTCCAAAGACTTTGACCTGGGTGAGGGGCAGACATTGCATTATCTTACAAAGATTTCTGGAACATTCTGCACAGGGTAGAGCCTACGTGGCTAAGGGCTGAACTTACCACAGAATTTAACTGACTGTTTACCCTTGCCAAAAACAATAACTGTTCTCTGAAGTATAGGCTACCCGGTGATCAGCTGTCAAACCAATCTGACCATTCCTAGACTTCTTGGTAAAATTACCACAGGGAAGGAACCCAGTTTTAGAAGTCTTTCTTTCTTGCTATGAAAACAGTGGCTACAAGTTCCCCAGCCATCAAAGCCTAAACTTACAGCAGAATATGTGCTTTTTTTTTTTTCCTCTTAGGTTTGCTCCCAGAAACAGAGAGAGTGACATTCCTGGCTGTCCTGGTCATGTGGGCTCCTCTGTGCCCTTAGTTGTTACCTCAGCAAACGCATCCCAGCTGTGGCTCCCAGGTAAATGCGGGTGGATCCATGGAGGGACTCAGGGATCTGTTCCTTGACTTTTAACATGCAGTCCTCAAAGGCCTTGGGGGCATCTTGGGGATTATACTCATAGCCGGAGATTCCAGAACCTGAAGAGCAAGCAGTCAGAACTCATTAGTCTTCCTTAGAATAAAAAACAGTAAAAAGACTTTTAAATAAAGAGTCAGGGGATGGGGAGATGGTTCGGTGACAAAGCATTTGCAAAGTAAACACAAACACTTGAGTTCTGACCTCCAGAACCCAAGTAAAAAGCTGGGCATGATGGTGTGTGCCTGTAATTCCAGCTTTTGGGGTGTGTGTGTGTGTGTGTGCAGAGACAAGAGCGTCCCTCGGACTCCCTGGCCAGCTGCCCAGCTTACCCTGTAAGCTCCAGGTCAGTGAAAGATCCTATCTCAAAAAGAAGGAAGGGAGAGAGGGAAGGTAAGGAGGGAGGGGAGGGAAGAGAAGGGAAAGGAAGGGAAGGGAAAGGAAAAAGAAAAAGGAAAAGAAGCAGATGGGTGGTACCCGAGGACCAACAGCAGAGATAGCCCTCTGGCTGCCATATGCATTTGCACGCACACACACACACCTATGCACCCTCACAAACTAGCTGTCCGTTGGTGGAAGGAGTTCTTGGCAGCCTGGATGCCATCTGTGACCCCGCAGAACACCCAGAAGTGATAGTGTCACCTCAGGAATCCATACATACTCTGAGGGACCAGAGGCCACAAACTCCAGTTGAAATGACACAGTGGAGTTTGGCCAAGTGTCACACCCTGAAGGACACTGGCTTCTCCAGCACTGAGTGAGGTTTCTGTGGTCCCAGAGTGGTGGCCAGCCACATGGGCTGGTGAACCCAGGCACATTCAAGAGGTCCAGACCCTCAGGGTGGCCTTGGTGGGTCTCAACCCCTGCCTCTGTTGGTGGTCTCCATTTAAGCGCCTGTAGCTCTGCTGTGGGAAAGCTGCTCTGCATAGCCTAGCATACTTGTGTGTGTGCTGTCTGTCTGTGTGTGTGTACTGCTGTCTGTGTTCCTCTCCTCTGACACTGCCCACCCTACAAGCACGTACTGTCTGTCTGTCTGTCTGTATTCCTCTCCTCTGACACTGCCCGCCCTACAGGCCCGCACCTCCTGGCTTTCTTCTGTGCAAACTGGGAGCTGGAGAGTTTTCAGGCGAACACGTTGAACCTTTGTTTAGCGCTCTCACTGCACAGAGGCAGGCCCTTCCCTTTTCTCATACACAAGTTTCCGCCATCACCTAGGTGAGCACTGAAGGGGGGGGGGACCTCAAGCCATTCACTGCCCCTGACATCCCACAGGGCTGTGGAGGAAGGGACTAGACCAAGCCGGCTCCACAGATGGGCAGCAACACGGGGTGTGTCACGCCCTCCTGACCCCCAGCTCAGGCCGCCTTGTCCCCTTTACCTTTCACACTGCATTTGAAGGTTTGGCTGACCACTCCTGTGTTATTCTCCTTCTCTGCTGGCCACTGATACACATACACCGTGGTTCTGGAGGAGCCAGCATCCAGCACGATCCCATACTGAAGGGAAGAGGAAGAGAGTTGGAAGCAGGGCTGGGCCCTTCTGAGTGTTTATCTCACCCTGGATCACTGAGAACCACGGATGCCATTTTAATTTATTCTTGGAGAATTCCATATGTGCAGAAAAGTATTTCATTCATATCAACTCCTAATTCCCTCTCCAACTCTTCCCTGAATCCTCCCATCATTCCTCCCACACCAATATCACCTTTTCATAACCCACTGAGTCCGGTGTCATCCTTGGGTGGCCATTATTGTGACCCAGGCGTCCTGCCAGGGGGCCACTCCCCCAAGAAAGCTGATCTGACCCTCTCTTCTGGGCAGTTGTCGCCCAGCCTGCCCATAGCTCCTCAGCTAGGGGTAGAGCCCCTTGAACCTCCCCTTCATCTATGCTGGAACATTGACACGCTTGCCCGTGCATGCGCCATGTGCTGGCAGCCACCGTGAGCTCTTATGTGTCCAGAAGACACCGTCGCCTAGCATCTCTCCCCGGTCTCAGGCTCTCACAGTCCTCCATCCCTTCTTCTGCCGTGCTTATGCTATGTTGGGAGGGGGTTCGATAAAGATGTCTCATTTAGGGCCGAGAACTGCGTGGTTACTCATCCTCTGCACTCCAACCAGCTGGGGACCTCGGCATTAATTGCCGTCCACCACAAAAAGAAGCTCTCCAGATAAAGATCGAGGCCGTGCTGACCTGTGAGCATACATGTATTTAGAAGGCAGCTTGATACTGTGTCCGTTTAGCAAAACAGCAGAAGGGGGAACCCGGCTGTATTCGTGTACTTGTTTCATTTAGGCAGAGGCAGATCAAGGAGAGAGAGCGCTACTTGTCCCCAAACCAGCTGTAGCCCCCTGGACTCTGGCGAAGGATGAGATGAGGTATGTAGGCTCTCAGTCTTGGTTGTGCATGAGACTCCCCTGGGGAGGGAGGGAGCTCAAAATGCCCGGTGTGGAGAAGCCACACCAGACCAATTAAGTCCCAATCCCTAAGAATAGGCACAATACCATCTCCCCACATAATTCTAATACATAGATGCTTTGAGACCAAATGTGAAGGAACTGGCGAACACCACACAAGCACCCTGATCCAGACCCCAGGGATAACACCAGGGGCCCAGCGAGTGTCCAGCCAATCCCCACTCCATCCAGATCCCTGGATAACACCAGGGGCTCAGCAAGTGTCCAGGCTTGCTCCATCCAGACCCCCAGGATAACACTAGGGGCTCAGCGAGTGTCCAGGCTTGCTGTGCAGACACACAACTGAAAGACATTGTGGGAAGACACTATGGGAACTTCTCATAAGGAAGAGCCATGTCAGGATTCCCATCAGCCCTCAGGAGAAGCTCACAATTAAGGGCAAAAGAGCAATGCAATGTTGGCAGAATCAGCCAGAGGCCCCCAGGGGGCTTCCAGAATCTTCTGGAGGCAGCACTCCAAATCCCTCTACTTTTAGCCCAGCTTTGCTTGCCCTATGGGAGAAGATGAAGCCAGGTCCCAGACAGGATCCTCTAAATGGATTCTACAGTGTTACAATGCTGGGGGATAGTTAAGCTCCCAGGGTTCCCTCATTTTAAGTGACTCGCTGCAGAGGTAAACAGAAAACCATATGCCCAGTGCTAAGTGGCTGCTTGTTTTTAAAGCCACAATTGCTGAGTATGGTAGTGTTGTCCGTAATCTCATCAACTGGGGAAGCTGAGCCAGGAGGGTCAGGAGTTCAAGCTCATCCTTGGCTACACAGCAAGCATGAAGCCAGCCTGGGCCACATGAGACCATGTCTCTGAAGAATAAATATATAAAAAAAAAATAAAAATAAAAAGATTACTCTGAGCCAAGTATGGTGGTTGACACTTGTAATCTCAGTATTGGGAGGCTGAGGCGGGACTGTTGCACGTTCTAGGCTAGCCTTGTCACAGAGTAAGACAGGTTGTGGGAAAAGCTCCTTCTGGACAAACCCAATGGCCTGAGTTTGATCCACGGAAGCCATGTTAAGTCAGAAGTAGAGAACCAAGTCTACAAAGCTGTCCCCTGACCTCCACATGTACACCAGGGCATGTGCACACCCCCATATTACATACACACACACACATCACACCACATCACACACACATCACACCACATCACACACACACACATATCACACACATCACACATGCACACACACACCACATCACACTCACCCTCCCACCCACCCATGTCACACACACACACACACACCACATCACCCACACTCATATCACACAAACACACACACACCCATATCTCACAACACACACACATACACACACACACATCACATACACTCATATCACACACATACTCATATCACACCCACCCACCCATGTCACACACACATACACATCACATTACACACACTCATATCACACACACATACACACCACATCATACACACCACATCACACACATGCACATAATAGACTAAAATGGAGGGCTTTTAAATCACCTTGAGAAAAGCAAGACAATACATAAATAAAGTTATAAAAGAAAAAAAAGGCCAGCCTGGTCTACAAAGCAAGTTCCAGGACAGCCAGGGTTACACAGAGAAAATCTTGTCTCAAGGAAAAAGAAAAGGAAAAAGCGATAGAAGAAAGCCAAGCCAAGAGCTCCTCAATGTAATTATTGTCTTAACCTTATGTCATATTACCATGTCTGCTGGCCTGCAGGTGTATAGATCTGTTCATTTAAAGGCAAGGCTACTACATAACCCAGGCTGGCCCTAAGCTCTTGACCTGTGTGCCTCAGCTTCCTATGTGCTAGGATTGTCCGGGGGAGCCACCATGCCTGGCTGTGGTTCTATATTTTTCTAAGATTTATTTATTTTTATCTTATATGTATTTGCCTGCATGTATGTATGTGCACCACGTGCACACCTGGTGCCCATGGAGACCAGATAAGGGTGTCAGGTCCCCTGAACGTAGAGTTACAGAGAGTGTGCTGGGACCGGAACCCAGGTCCTCTGCAAGAGCAGCCAGTGGTCTCAGCCATCGGGCCATCTCTCCAGCTCCCGTCACACTTTAAACCCACATGGGATTATATCATACACACGCACACAGGGTTTATGTGTTTAACTTCTCATGGACAATCTCTTCAGCAAACCACTCTGAACAGCTCCACCATGTCTTATGCGACATATGGAATGACTGGCTTTAGCACCTCTCTGGGTCTAGGCTACAGGAGCCAGCCCCTGGGTCCCAGCTTCTCCTCCCATTGGCTCTTGGCAGCTCCTTCATCCCAGCCCTTCAGTTTGATGAACCTGATAGGGACCCTGACAGGACGTCCCCAGCAAACAAGGCTGGCATTGTTCAGATCTGTCCCAGGCAGGGATGCAAGTGAGATTAGCGTGCAGGTGGAAACTAACGCCAGGTATGAAGAGGCCAGGGCCTCTGGAGGGTCAGCCTGCTTCCTCCTCCTCCCTCAGAGGAACTGATCACCAACGCCACTGGCCTGCTAGGCCTGGTGTACACACACACACACACACACACACACACATACATCACACACACATCACACACATACACCACACACATAAACACACATCACACATACACATCACACACACAGACACACACATCATACACACACACAATCACACATACATCACACACACATCACACATACATCACACACACATCACACACATAGACACATACATACACACACACACACACAGATCTATTTAGTTTTATTCTATGTGTATGGATATTTTGGCTGCATGTCTGGGTACCCACAAGGATGTCATCAGATTCCTTGAGACTGGAGTTACAGACAGCGGTGAGCTGCCCTGTGGGTGTTGGGGATTGAACCGAACCCCATGGAAGCCCAGCCTGTGCTCTTAGCTGCCAAGCCCTCTCTCCAGCAGCTCTGCCCTGTGTTTTGGGATAAGGTTTCTCATTGTACGTGGCACTCACCAACTGCCAAGGCTAGCTGGCCATCTCTGCCTGCCAATGCCAGAATTAGGGTATGTGCCACAGCTCCCGGCTTCGCACCCACGCAGCGAGCACCTTACCCACCGAGCCATTTCCCCAGAGGCCAGCATTTGCAAAGTGGTAAAAGATATTTTAACCCATGTTTAGATATTATTTGCTTCAATCACTGGACCCACTGTGGATGTGCTGGAGGTAAGGGATGGGAAGGAAATGATTTTTCAAATCAAATAGGAGGTGATGGGTTATTGGAGGTCAGCGTGGTGTCCAAAAAAAAAAAAAAAAAAAAAAAAAAGAAAGAAAGAAAGAAAAAGAAAAGAAACATGGCTTGAATGTAGTTCTGGAGACACACCCAGTGTTCCTCAGGGCATGGCAGTATATGCCCTTAGCCCCAGCACTCGGGAGGCAGAGGCAGGCTGATCATTGTGATTGAGGGCAGCCTGCTATACACAGTAAGTTCCAGCCATGGCTACACAGAGAGACCCTGTCTCATAAAAGGGGAGGGGGGACAGTCTTCATTTTCTACTTTTCCTTTTGTTTTATTTTTAGGGTTTTTTGTTTGTTTGTTTCTTTGTTTTGTTTGTTTGTTTTTTTCAAGACAGTTTCACTGTGTGGCCCTGGCCATCCTGTAACTCGCTTTGTAGACCAGGCTAGGCTGAGCTCAGTCATAGAGATTCGCCTGCCTCTGCCTCCTAAGTGCCAGGATTAAAGGCGTGTGCCACCACTGCCTGGCTGGAACAGTCTTTCATGCTGAAACCCGTGATCCAACACTTGGATACTGTGTGATCTTCTGCCGAAAGTAAGAGCTGGGGTGATAGGTTGTGGGTCGTAAGATCAGCCGTCTTAGATTTGTTATTAGCTCTCGAAGACGAGGGGACAGTAACAGACTCCTGAGCAGTTGTACCCTAGGATCTGATTTTTCTGGTGCTTTAGTGAGCTTTGTTGCCTTCATAAGGCTAGTAAAATCATCATCTTAATTGACATGAGAACAGGCCTGGTATTAAGCTACAGTGACTCTCAGAGTTTCCAGGCTTTCACGGAGGGAGTCCCAGGAAATCAAGTTTGATGAGGCCACTGTGAAATAACAGGCCTGGTGTGCTAGGATCGATATACTCCCTTTGTTTGGACAGACGATCCCTTCAGACTGCAGCCCAGGAGCAAATCTAGCTTGAGGCAAGGTAGACTGGCTTGTATAACGAATCTGGGGCTTCTGCATTGGGAGGAACAACTTATCCACTTCTTGCTGCCTCAAAATTGGAATAGCATGGGCCACAAGACACCAGAAATCCAGGAGACCTCACAAGGCTCCATGAGGGCTAGTGGAGAATGACTCACCCAGCCTGACTCAGAGAACACCAGCAGAGCATGGGCGTGGGAACTAAGATGCCTGTGATCTTCTACCCAGTGAGGGGAACTAAGGTGGCCTGAGCAGCTCAGAGGGAGAGCCCATCAGGGCATCCTTAAGACTATCCAGGACCCTCTTTAATGGTGACAACCAGTGGCTAAGAAGAGGGATTGGCACCGGGATATTGGGAGCAGAGACACCTTAAACTCTGATGCTCATGTTGGGGGAGGGAGAGAGAACCCCCAAAGGGAAGATTTTGGAATTTGTGGTAATAAAGCAAGTGAGGGCCTGAGTGGCGACATATTTACTCTTCAAGCTTGTGGAGCAGGCCAGACCAGTATCGCAGGGACCTGGGGGACGTTGCTGACCCTTGATTGAATCTTTCTCTAATGGTTCTGCTCTTAAACTTTCATCAGCCAAGGTCAGGCAAGTCAAGGCTGGATTTAAGAGCAGGTGTCATACCCTTTCACAGGGACAACAAACATTGCAGGCCGAGGGGAAGCTGGTGCCTCATAACCCACAGTCAGCTGCACAGAAGCAAAACAGGACTCGTGGGGACTCGTGGCAGGAACACACAAACACCACCAAAGCCAAAGGCCCTAGCCGTCATTCAGCTACACGCCTACAGCACTCTGCCCGGCCCTGGCATACCACAGAAACCCAAAACACAGAGGTCTCTCAACGCTCAGCCAAGCTGCAGGTGGGGCTCCCTCTGCCAGCTGTCAGTCACCTGCCCAGAGCACCTGTCTCTTCTCACATTTCATCCACCCACTCAAGAAAACGGACCATCCAAAGCAAGCAACTTCCTGTGCCCTGGAACTCTGGCCAGGGCCCGCAGCTATTTCCAAATGGATTGACGATGCTCTCTCTCTCTCTGTGTCTCTGTCAGTCTCTGTCTGTCTGTCTTTCTCTCACACACACAGTATGTAGCCCGTGCTGCCTTCGGCCTGTGAGTGCTGGGATTATAGGTACATGCAATCTTGCCAGCTGTTTAGTAAACATTAATGACACACTCCATAATAATATGAAGTAGAGTGTGACAATACACAAGCCAGCGACAGTCATCTGTTAATGCTAGCGTGCATCATCTTACTCAGCTGGCACCAGTATCACCACAAATACACGTGCAATGAATACTGTACCATGACATCTGCCTTAGTCTTAGTTAGGGTTTCTATCGCCGTGAAGAGACACCATACCCACAGCAACTCTTATAGAGGAAAAAAATTTAACTGGAGTGGCTTACATTTTCCGAGCTTTAGTCCATTTCTCATCATGGTGACAAGCCACCACAATGTCACAATGGTACCCTGTCCCTAACTGACAGGAAGGTTTAGCTCCAGCTCCCACAAACAGCTACCTGGCGGCCACATCTCAGACCCTCAGTAAGATCCACCCTCGGAGACCCTGACTTAAAGATTCATTGCATGTTCTAGAAGTGGGGAGCACAGGCTCAGGGTAGATGTATCTTATGGAGAGAGACAGACATGAGGTGCAGTTAGAGCTGCTCCTTTAACAATGTGGGGCCCAGGTATTGCTCTGATTACAGCCTTCTAGGGTGGTCCTGGTTTTCCCGCCCATCCCCCAGCTCTACAAGGCTCCCTGCATGGGTCCCTCCCTGAGCCTTGCTTCCCATGCTCCTGCTATGGTTGGACCCATTGTTGAGGAACTGCCTCCATCACACTAGTCGGTGGGTGGGCACGTCTACTGAGCATTCTCTTGATTCTTAATTGTCTACTTGAATGCATGAGGGTTCAGCCCACTGTGAGAAGTGCTATCCTTAGGCAGAGTTTTTGTTGTTACTTTGTTTTTTTGAGGCAGGGTTTCTCTATGCAACAGCTCTGGCTATTCTGGAACTTGCTTTGTAGACTCAGCAAACAAACAAACAAAAAATCCCCACCACAATGAAAAGCTCTTACTCCAGCCCTTCCAAACATGGGGCAAAGCTGCTCATGGGACCCCAGGCAATATTACCTCCTTGTTTTCTGAAACCAAGTACTCCAAATACAACTTAGAGCGGTTACTGGTGGCAGGAAGATGGGAGAAAAGAGGTGAGGGCGAGCGTAACTCCTAAAGAGAGTCAAATAACACAGCAGAATGACTGGGCTCCCTATGGAGCCTCCCCAGCTAGGAAGACTGACTCCATACATTTTTAATGAGCCCCAAACCTAACAACAGCACGCAGCAGAGACTCTAAGTGGCCTTCAGAGCCTAAAATATTACTGTTTGGGGTATCACATAAAACGTTTGCTGACTGATTCCCAAAATGACTAGAGGACTCCCTGAATCATCACTCTTCGTTTCATTCCAAGGCCCCACCCCCACCCTGCCATCCATCTCCTAAGAGTGAAGGCCAGCAGTCAAGCACAAGGCCGTTTGGGGATGAACTCAGAGAGATCACCGGACATTACGCAAAGTCCTGGTGGGACCGGGAGGCGTAAATGCGTATCTTAGAACCGGGAGAAGGGGCACACATATGCCTCAAAGAGATTTCCCAACACTCTTAAAACCAGGAGCCCCGTGCCTCCCCCAGTCCACCCATGATCATACTGTGTGCTTCCCCGGAACTGATGGAGCACTGCACACCTACATCTCTGGGGCACACATTCCATCTTTGTATCCTATAGTAGAAGTCAAAGCGAGTCCCTGGAAAAGGTCCCTTCCTGGAAGCACGCCTCCGCCTCGGTCTGCATCACAAGCCCAGCCCTCCTCCTGGGTCTCACGCTGCTTTCTCCAGCTGCTGGAGTTTTCTCTTTAAGTTACAACATTAGCATGACTGATGCTGCCGCCCATCTGGCTTACCTTCAGCCCTGGGGGGAGGACCTGAGGGTGGCAGATCTGGATGAGTGTGAGCGTCACGAGCACCACAATGCTCACAAGCAAGACCACCAAGGTGACGATGGCTGGAGTCCGGGACAGGGCCCTGAACCCTGCAGGGGGAAGCAAAGCATTGCAATTTGAGTTCCAACGCCCAGAAGCTGTCCTCTGACCTCCACTCGCAGGACATGTGCATGCGCGCGCGCGTGCGCGCGCGCGCGCGCACACACACACACACACACACACACGTAAACACGTAAACAAACGTGTAAATGCAGAATGAAATTTTAAGTGTAATCATGTAAATGCAAAATGAAAAAAAATTAAATTTAAATGCAGATTAAAAATCTGGGTTTTCAAGTGGGCAGTGGTGGCGCACGCCTTTAATCCCCAGCACTCAGTAGGCAGAGGCAGGCCCGTCTCTGTGAGTTCAGGCTAGCCTGGTCTACATAGAGAGTTCCAGGACAGCCAGGGCTACACAGTGAGACCCTGTCTCAAACAAACATGAAAGAATTGCATGCGCAATCCAAAAACATATGTGTTCAGAAGGTGAGACTACCCAACTAGGGAGTGTAACGTAAGATCTAACCATTTCTCTCTGTATCAACTAAAGAACTGTAACAGCTAGTTAATTAAAACATTGAAGTTGGCTGGGCTTGACACCACACGCCTCTAATCATTGCACTCCAAAAGGAGAAGGCCCAGAGGCAGGAGGGTCAGTAGTTCAAATCCAGTGTTAGCTATGTAGAAAGTTCAAAGTCAGCCTGGGCTACACCAGATCCTACACTTTAGGAAAACAAACAAACAAACAAACCACATCTTGGCTAAATAATAGTCTTGGTTGCCAGGCAGGTGGCATACACCTTTGAACCCAGCACCCTGGAGGCAGGTGAATCTCTGATCTTGCGGCCAGCCTGATCTACAAAGAAAGCTTCAGGACACCCCCCCACTAAAAAAAAGGTCTTGGTAGAATGCTAAGGCATAAGTACAAATAGTATTGGCTGAAGTATGATTAATTATAGATGAGAAAACATCAACATTTCTCTTGAAACTGGCTGTTTAAGTGCAAATTAATCAAAATAAATAATTCCTCAGTCATGTTTCAAGCATTTGGTCCCCCGTGACCCTGTGGTTGCTGTGCATGATAAGGATGCCACAGTTCAGCGCCACCACGCCACCCCTCAACAGCCATGGGTATATTTTACCCTATCCCACAACATTCCCTCTTATATCATTGTAGACTATGGTTCACTTCCTCTTTATATCTAGATTTTTTTTTTCCTGGAAGAAACAAAGGCTGCATGCACCACCTTAATCAAATTAGTCGCAGCCCATATCCAATTGCCTTGCCTTGCTTGCTGCCTGGGTGGGGGGTGGGGGTGGAGATTCGTGGCTCAGAAGAGCCAACTCCTGCCAGTGAGTATAGACAAGTCACAGGCACTTCCTGATGTCAGAGGGGCCCCTCCATTGTCCTAGTGTAACTGGTTTGGCATCCGTGGAAGACAATTTGTCAGTATTTGCCAACGCTCAGAGATGCTCACCCCCTGACCACATTGCACTTCTGGAAACCCACCTCACCCCACAACCCACGGAAGTGAGGGGACTTGGGGCACACCTCACAGATCTGGAGGAGAGCCTAGCCCTGAACCTCAGAGCATCAGAACTTGTCCTGAATCATTCATCTGTGCTCCAGATAAAACCTCCCCAGCCACAGGGAATCCACAGAAACGAACTCACTCCTACTGTCAAACCTCATCAGTGTTAGTAACAGAGGTTTAAGGGATTTTTTTCCCCCAACAAGACCCAGTAGAGTTAATATGCCAAGTTTAATCTTCCTTAGGAAAGAATGTAACCAATCAACTTGTATGTGGAATGTTACAGTATGTGTGTTAAAAATCTAATGTATTTGGGGGGAAATGTTCGATGTAATATAAACCATCTCCTTTAGTCTAACTGTTCTTTCCAAAATATTTAATATAAATTGGTCTTTATGTCCTCAGGTCATACCCTTTTGGAAGTCAAGAATCAGCAGTTTAGGGCATAGCTAAGGAACCTCTTCAAGGGGAGGGGTGCGTGGAATGTAAGCAGTCTCCTGACCACAACCATGGACTGGCTGGCCTCTTGAATCTTCTGGGCTTCAGCACTTTCCAAGTGAAAAGCTATGATTACCTCCAGCAAACACTTACCCAGCAAAAAAGATTATTGCAAAGCGAACAGACTACTAGGCTAGGTCTCATTCATGAAGAAACACAGCCTAGAGCTGTGCAGTAGCTAGGGCTGGGCAAACACTGTTAATTGCTGGTGCCTACCTGAGCTTGGAGAGGAGCTGCTGAGCACATACTTCCCACCTTCACAAGGATAGCTGGGGGGGGGGGGCGTTGGGGAGCTGGCAAGCCAGGCTGGGCAGGCTTGGGAGTGTGTGGGAAGGGGAAGGAGGGAGGGAAAGAGGGGAGGGAGGGGGAAGTAGCCTATCAACACTGACCCCCAAAGAATGGAGGGTGTGGCAGGCACTGTACCAGGACAGATCCAACTCTATCAGGATTCACCCCCAAGTCAACCACACACTGCAAATCTTACGCATAGCTAGGTAAGGAAACCACAAGAGCCAAAATAATGGATTATACAAACAGGAAAAACCATTTAAGCCAATCTTGTGTTAGCCCTTGTTCCGTGTGGCTTTGTGGACAGCATTGCTTTTATCTGAAGAAAGCCAAGGGCGAAACCTAGGTGTGCCTCGGCGTCGTCGTCTAGCAGCAATAATAAACAGCCATTCACTGGAGGTATGGATGGAGGGAGAGCTGGGAACCAAAGCTGGGGTTCTCCGGGATCTGACAAAGCCGCGTGCTCGCCGTCCAGCGAGCGACACTTACCTGCTTGTTCACAAGGCTGGCGGGTCACCACGGTAAACATCTCCTCTGCCGGCTGAGGGGGAAATAGCACAGAATGAGAGCGTGGCCAGCCCCTCGCTTCGGAAGTTCAAAAACAAACTTGCACGGATTAATATCGAAGCCTCTTTGGGAACAGTGCGCTCAGACCCAGAGCTTGACGCCAGTGGAACCAACCCGGCGAATGGGTACGTTAAAAACTTTAACCACAGGGCAGTTTTGAAAATAAAACCACGAAGGATTGCGTGTGCTCTCTCTCTTTTTTAATCTTTTCGCTGCAGGTCGTTCCACCTGTGAACAGCACAGAAGCACAGCAAACCCTCCTCTTGGGGACAGTCTCAGGCTCGGGCTGGGCCGTACCTCACCAGCAAAGCCGGTTCGCAGTGATGTGTGCTGGTGGCTGGCAGCGTGCGTCACCCCTTAAAGACCCGCGGGGTGTCTCCAGCTCCCGGAGAGCAACACCGGCAGACAGCTGTCAGGGCCTGGGGATCAGAGTGGGGGCCCCGGAGTTGGCCGGTCCCCTGCATCTGCAGGTCTTGGGGTGCGTCGTGACGCGGTGTCCCCTCCCTGCCAGATGACAGTGCCCAGCTCCCCGGGTTTCGGCTCCAGCCTGTGGCCCTCTGCGGTGAGCGATGTCCAGGCCTTCCCTCCCGGCTCCCGGATGCCCGCAGCCCGCTCCATCCCATCCCTGCGCGCGGGTCCAGATCTTACCTGCGCGCTGTGCTCGCTGGGGGTTGCTGAAAGGCGGCGGCGCCTCCGGGGTGCGGGAGGCGCGGGAGTCAAGGAGGCGGGGCGAGGCGAGGCGGCGTGGGTGGTGCAGTGTTCGGGACCGCCTCTGCGCTGAGGCCAGGACCTCTTCACCCTCCCTGGCTCCTCCCTTTCACTTCATTCACCCCCCAGCTTGTCCTGGAGGAGGATGGAGCCGGTCGGCGCCACGTGGGGGGACAACCAATCCTTGCCAGCCCCTGTTTTAGTTACTTCCCTCGTTGCTATGACAAAATACCTGAGCAAAGCAACTTAAGAAAGGTGACTCAGGGCCGTAGGGTACCATCCGCTGCGCTGGGACAGGTGCGTTGGCAAGAACTTGAACAGCTAGCTGATCACATTGCCTGGGCTGTCAGAAACCGGAGAGAGACTAATGCAGATGCCCAGCTCAATTCCCCGGTTTTTATTTAGACCAGGACCCCGGCCTAAGGCATTGATGCTACTCTTAATTCAGGTAGGTCTTCCCACATCAGCTAGTCCAGTCTAGATAACCAGTCTCAGACATGCACAGTTTGTCTCCTAGGTGATGGTAGGTGCTGACAGTATTAATTGTCACAGTGTTCCAACAGGACCCATCCAGATAGCTCTTCATGTCTTTATCTTCTAACTCCCTGGGTGGTCTCCTGAGCCCAAGGCAGAAGAGGAGGTGTTGTGACCTTGCCCCCAGTCCCAAGGACCCTGCGTGGGAGCAGAGTACCCTTTGCCTGCTAGTCCTCCAACTGTCAAGACAAATAACCTTTATACGAGATGTATTTATTATGCGTATCCGTGTGCCTGCCTGCATGAGTTTGCGTGTGCCGTGTGTGCAGGTACCCAAGGGGTTTTAGATCCTCTGGAACTGGAGTCATAGACAGTTGTGAGCTACCATGTGGGTGCTGAGAATTGAACCCAGGTCCTTCTGGAAGAGCAGCCAGTGCTCTTAACTGGTGAGTCATCTCTCCAGCCCCGTTTTGTATGCTGTTTTGAGACAAGGTTTCCTATGTAGTCAAGGCCAGTCTTCTACTTGTTCCTGCCTCAACCTCCTGGTGCTGGGGTCACTCTCCGGATGCCGTTCCTCCTGTAAGGGAAAGTAACTCTGTTTTGCCATTTTTCCCGGTTAAACCTTTCTTGAGGGAAAAGCAGGGCCAAGGGCAGAGTAGGACAGGAGAAGCCATTCTGAGAGCACACGTGATTTCTTGCAGCCACCCCACCTCCAAGCTCTCCACCGGGCCAGAAGCGGAGTAGAGCAGAACTCACCTAGAATGATGAGTAGGCTGATGGGTCCCTGGGTCTTCTGGGTGGGCGCACACTGGGGAGCGAGCACAGGACAATGCAGACACTCGCACACATGGTAGCTCATATGTGGTGCTGAAACCAAGGACTTCCTTAGTAGTGACAGAGAGATGTTCTTCTCCATCCTGAGTGGCACTGAGCCAACAGTCAGGACAAGAGCAGCTTGGAAGAAGCCAAATAGGACAGGAGGCAAAAAGGTGGAGCTCAGGGACTGTGGAGATCCCAAGGACCTCGGATTCCGTCTCGGGTGCAGACTCTTGGTGCCTCTGACAGCCCCAAGCAAAAAGCCTGAGTGGGAGGTTGTCCTCTTGTCCTGTCTGTGGCTGTGATAAAAACACAAACCCAACTTGAGGGAGGAAAGGATTTATGTGGCTTGTACTTCCAGGCCACACACAGGCCATCCATAAGGGAAGTCAGGGCAAGAACTCAAGCAGAATCTTTAAGTAGAAGTCAGAAGGAACGCTGCTGGCTGCCTCAAGGGCTTATCCAGATTTCTTTATAATCCACGACCACCTGCCCAGGGAATGGTCTGCGCTACAGAGGGCAGCGGGGCCCACCTACATCAAGACAATCCTCAGTAAACGCGTCCATAGGTTAGTCCCACCTAGGCAATCCTCAGTGCAGGCTTTCTCCTCAAATGACTCCAGGCTAGTCTAAGCGACAATCAGAAGAAACTAGGACAGTGGTCTTGGATCATCTCTCCTTGAGGCTCAGTATGCCTGCAAGGAAGAGCTAAGGACGAAGTCCTTGCCCTTCCTGCCTTCTCCTAAAGATCTACCGTTTGCTCCTGGGCAAGTGGGGCTGGAGTCCCTGTGAGAAAAGAGAGCCTTAAGACAGGAATTCCCCTGAGGAAGACCCCTGAGCCTAGGGGCTGGAGAGATGGCTCAGTGGTTAAGAGCACTGCTCTGCTCTTCCAGAAGACCTGGGTTCAAATCCCAGCACCTATATGGCAGCTCACAAACTTGTCTGTAATTCTTGTCTGTATTTCCAGAGGACCCGACACCCATGGCACATAAAACAAAGATTAAACAAATTAATAAAAAAACAAAGGACCTCTGAGCCTAGAGAGGAGAGCCCAGGCCACAGTCCTGCTTGTGCGCGTGCGTGCGCGTGCGTGTGTGTGTGTGTGTGTGTGTGTGTGTGTGTGTGTGTGTGCATGGAGATGGGTCCCTGCTGTGTGGATTTGCCCCTGCACTGGGGCAGGGGTGCTGGCTACTTTATGAGACTTATTTTCCTTGAACACTATGGGACACTGGAACATAACATGTGTGGAAGAACCCCAAGTCCCTGTGCATCCAGAGGGCCAGGAGTCTACTGTCCCCAGCAGGCACTGCACCCAGATCTGCTCTGTATCTCACCAGAGTTGCTGGGAGCTGTGAAAGATTCTTGGGCCAGGGACCTTGCAATGCCTCTAAACACAACTGGGCCAACTTTGCTTTATGCTGTCCCAATCTTCGAGCCTTGTGAGTGTCAACCTCCTCTGTGAGGTGTCTCCAGTTCTTTTCTTATTGTCCCAGATTTCCCTGAAGCTCTGCTCCAGGTTCAGACTGAACAAACATTCCGGTAGCTCGCAGACTAGCCCAGTCATTCAAAGGTGATTCACCACCCTCCTGAACGCACGCGTGTGCACTGCCTTCCCTCAGCTCCACTTGTGAGTAAGCCTTCAGAGCTCTGGTCACAGGATAACACAGGCGCTTTACTTGCTCTCCAGGCATGTTAGAAAGCTGCAATGATTAGATAGGGTTGACTACAGGGATCTATTTAATTGTCTGAAGAAGCAAGAGAAACTGAGCTGTATCAGACAATGGGTGTGGAGTTTAGACTGCACTAAAGGACAAGCTGGGATAATGTGTTATCCGAGGACCAATACTGAGATGATGAGTTATCTGAGGACCATACTGAGATGATGTGTTATCTGAGGACTAACGCTGAGATGATGTGTTATCCGAGGACCAGTACTGAGATGATGAGTTATCCGAGGACTAACGCTGAGATGATGCGTTACCCGAGGACCAGTATGAGATGATGAGTTATCCGAGGACCAGTACTGAGATGATGTGTTATCCAAGGACTAATACTGAAACTCTTGGTCCGTTGGGAAAGGATCCTAAAAGTTGAAACAGAAAAGAAGAATGCAGTGTACCAGGAAAACAGAACATTTTTACCGTTGGAAGGAACCACCGGTCCGAGTGTAAGATCAGAGCGAGACGATAAGCAGGAGAACAGATGCCCTGAGAGGCGGCTGAGTAAGACAATGGGGGGAGGTGTAGGATGCGATTGCAGAGGCAGCAAGATGGCTCCTGGGTACAGGTGATGCTAAGTCTCCTGACCTGAGTTCCACCCCCAGGACCCACATGGTAGATGGAGAGAACAAATCTTGAAAGTTGTCCTTTGCCCTCCACAAATATGCCACGAGCATTGAGCATCACCAAACCTCAGACAAAATAAATCTAAAAAGATAAAGTCATATCACTACAATACAGAGTGAAGTCCTGTCAAGCTGTAGAAAAAATAGGAATATCTAAAATAGAAAAATAAATGATATGCAATATCCTATTTTCAAAAAAAAAAGTAAGTGGCTGGTTTCCAATGAAAATGTGATCACATATGAGTATACCAGTGTTATAGGGTCATAGGGTTTCTATCGATGTGAAGAGAT